ATCATACAAATCTTTCAATATATTTTTTCAGTTCTCCCTGTTTTACCGTGCCATGAAAAAACTGGCAGGTAGCTCACAAGCCACACCTCATTCGTCATAGTATCACATTTTGAGCAGTGCATACAGATGACATTTGTGAAGGAACCCTTTTCTAATGGACTATTTCTTGCTATTTCTTTTCCCATCTACATAAGCTTTCTTCTGCGTTTTACAAAGCGTTGAGCGCTTTTCGCTCGGGTCTTCTCCTCCAATTGCCTTTTAGGGAGGAGCTGGTCATTACGAGAGATGTGCCTCTCTGTTTCCGACAACTTTCGTTTCTTGGGGGCGCGAAGACTGTTGGAAGAGGGAGTGTGCCATCTATTAGACCATAAGGTGACGGTAGGACCGGGTGACGTGCTGTACCGGTGTAGCCGGGTGCCGGTGCCGCCGCTGTGCCGCCGGGGTGTTGTGCTGTGCCGACGCTGCAGGGGTGTTTTGCCGCTCGTCACGCTCCATACGCCCTTCAACGCTTTCCTCCAAAGGCTTATGTCAAAGCACAGCGTTGTGGCTGAAGAGTTCTGAGCTTCCGAAGACACGGTCAGGGTTAAAAGGCACAACTCCATTGGCCTAAAAGCCACTGATGGCGTTTTCTGGGCTCTGAAGCACGACCTTGTAGGCTTGTGAGAACAAACCGCCTATACACATGTCTATGATCCTTCGGCGCAAGTGAGTGTCATGGAAGAACTTCACTTGCCGGGCCCAGACCGCTTCGAGAGGCCCGCATTGTGTCAAGTTGAGGAGGTGCACGACTTGTGAACAGTGTGGGGATATGGTAGCGATGTCCAGTCTCCCGTGCTTTCGCGCTGGGGCAACAACACTCAGACTGACATAGCTGCTATGGTTGTATGTAACGGCCAGAAGCCCTCCGACAGGTACGGGCACGGCATGCTGGACGAAGTGCCGAAACCACTCTACAAAAAGTCCGTAGTTGATCCAGCCGTCGTCGCTGACCGGTGCCTATGGTTCCAACGGGATGGTCCTTGGTTAGTGCCGCGTTCTCTGTTCTCCCACCTTAGATCATTATTGGTGGGACGCCCACTGGCACATCCCACACTGGTTGTCAGCTTACCCCGTTCTGTTGTCGTAACTTGGCCGACCTTGTGTTGTCCTCGTTCAGCAAGCACTTTTGGGATTTCAGGCACGGGGCTCAGGCCGTCCCATCAACACTGCACACCCTGGGAGGAAGGGGTGGGGCCTTTGCTCTGATGTTGCACGAGCCGGCTGTCGTAGAATTGTTGCACGTTGTTTTTTTATAAAACCGTCTAATCTTACCAAACTGTAGTCTCGGACTTTTCGGAGCGAAATTCTGCGGGTGCCTTTTCACAAAGTCGGTCACTCAGTCTGGGCCACCACACCTCTTCTGGTGATTGAAGGGATGCTTTATCTTCGGTCTTACGGCGTATTCGTATACATTGCTGGCCATGGCCTCTCGTTATGCCGATGTACACGTTTGACAGGTGCGGAATTCGCCGCTCCATTGCGTTCTCAAAATAGTTGGGCATGACTGTCTTTTTGCCGAGGCATGGAGGATCATCTGGTTGCAACGGACCGTCGTCTTTTAGGCGATCCCTGGGGGCTGAGAGGGACCTTCCAAACGTCCTACAGGTCTGCCGTATCTCCAGGCCCCTACGTGCAGCTTTTACGGCATCCTTTATGGATGTTGTGCTCCAAGATCCCCAGTCACAATCTCGGATATAGTTTCGAGGCATTCTGGAAAGGAAAGACGGAGGTAAACAATAGCTGCAACAGAGCTAACTAGTCATTTTTGGATTTTTATGCACACGTGAATTTTAAAAATTCGCATCTATCTTACATATATCCAATCATTGTTATCCCTTAAAGCCCATAGACAATACCGCCTGGGGTAGCACCGCCCATGGTGGGATAACACCGCCAGAACGGGCGGTGTTACCCCAAAAGCCTGTTTGATGCAGAAGAGCGTGGATGACGTTATTACCGATCACGTCGTGTGCAATCCAGGGCGCGCAAACTTGACGTAAATGCCTATAAACCTCAGAGATATCGTCATATATCATGATTCAGTACTATTCTTTCCACTTCCGTGACTGTAAAATACCCCACTCTCAATACCACTACGCGCAAAGGCAGAGCACACCATAATTCAGACGAAAAATTCAATTAAATCAAAGCGCCCGGTGCCCTATGTTCTTCTTCTGCGCCGCGGTTAAAGACGACCGTCAGCTCTTCACGCACAATGTCCAATATTCTCGATGTTGAGGCGGGTGGTGTTTGCCGAAGGACGGTGCTATCCCTCCTGCCCTTTCTAAAAAAAACAAAAAAAAAACGGAGCCTTACCAGCCATGCTAAAGGAAATGTCGTACACTTGAAGATATTGAAGCAGCACCAGATATGATCAATAAGTGCAAAGGGCTGCTGCAGACAACATAATCTCTCTATTTAGTAAATATACCCCTCGATACGCCATTGTTTGATTGCGTCATGGAACGTTTGTATCATAACGCTAACTTCTAGTTCATCAATCTCCCGAGACATGGCAATGTGAGCTGGAGGTGTTTGCTCAGCCAAACGTGCCCGTGTTTGGGTCTTTTCTCGTGGTGCTCTTTCATATTTGTTCGTGAGTTTAAGATGTTTGCTTGTACTCACATACCTGTTTATATCGCTATTATAAGTAACTCAGTTACAAGTCATATTTCTGTCAAGGTAATTACCGTAATATCTCCGAATTATTGAGAATAATGTATTAGTTCTTGTTTTATGCAGCGCAAAACGTAACCCGTGTTAGAATCTTGCATACCTTGCATGACCCTGATTGGGAGCCAGCTGACGGCCGCGATTTTTAGAAATTTTTGCTCACAAACGTCAGAAATGTGCGACTCAGCAATTATATTTTTATTGATCTGGAACGTCGTATGCCATTTGAATGGCATGTTGTGAAGGACGTTATTATAGCGTCATGGATGCCTGGATAACCTCCAAATAATCTGTGCGAAATAGTCTGCACATCTTGGTTGGCATGTAGCTCGGAAACTCGAGGGTTTTTGGTCTTAAGAAGAGCATGGCTGTTAATTGCACCGAGTGATCTCCAAGATGGCTATTTCAGTTCAAAATCCCATGCAGATATGGAAAAGCCGCTTTACATCAAACACCATTGTTTTTCACGAGGGCGCTGTGCCCTATACCCATGGACAAAACAGAAAATTAGCGTAGATTGTGTAAGTTGGCCGGATGGCTATGCCCCCAAACTCCGTAACCGGATCCATTAATGAAACCGGATGGTTATCACCCCACAGACACAAAACCTCATATTTTTGTCGTTTAGGGGGATTGCACGACCATTGGATGTACGAATGATACAGATGGCATCCACCAACAAGCCTTTTGACTATGACATATGAACACGTGCGTAATGTGGCGTGCCTCCGTAGCAGAGCAGAAGCAGTGAATAACTCGATTCGTGTGGCAACAACTTTTGGGAAAAGGAGGGCGTCGATCTAAGCAGTTCGCCGAAAGAAAATCTCAGGTTCGGCCTCCACTGCCCGTCGTTCCACCAGGTGTCGCACCTGCGCCTGTCAGCCAGATGTCACTGGCGTCGCGCGGCTTGTTTTCCGGCCCGGTCTCCGGTTCGCCACCACGGAGGTGGCCAAGGCGTGACCCCGGAAGAGGGCGGCGGGAACAGCTAGCTGTCTATCGTTTGCCCTCGACCCTCTGTCCGTATCCACGCAATGCTGAAATAGCTCGATCGGTCTTACGGGCCGTTTCAACATAGAGCAGTATTGAGCCAAAAGCCTGGAGAAAACCATAAGAGACAGGAGGTTACGAAGATGCTGCTAGCAGGAACATGACATACATCGTTCCTTATCGTCTGGGGATCGGGTGTTATAAAGATTTCACAAAATTTGGGAACGTCAGGAAAAGTTAAATCCCCATTTGAATGCCCCTTTTATAGCATCAGCTGCCGCGCGTAGAAGGAAGGCAGCCGCACCAGACGAGCCAGGGAGACAAGAACAAGGCGATAAAGGCAGATAAGATGGTGGCCAATGACGCGGAGGAACGGTCAGCGCCGACGTGGAATCAAGTGATGTGGGGCTTAGAAAATGTCTCGCAGTCTGAAAATGACGAGCCTGAAAATGCCAGGAGAATGTGATGACTGACCGCTCCAATAAACCACGCATGATCCTCACCGCCGGCGCTGGGAGACGTGTGGCCGTCCTCCTGAGCCACACGGTGAATGAACCGAGTAGTCTGCACGATGTGGTGGTGGAGAGGTGGGTGTCGATGGATTCGCAAGCTGGGGAGACGGTGTAGTATAGCGCGGTTACTAATGCGCGCATCTGGGTGCGCCTTTGCAGCCGGCTGCCGAAAGCAGGGGCCGAACGGCCGTGTCAGCCGCGATCAGTGGTCACCGGAACGGCAAGTTTCTGATATTGGTGAGAGCGCGCGCATATCACGCTATTTTAATAATATACAAATTTGAAACGCAAAATGTTTTTCATCAAAATAAAGTGAGCTAGACATGTTCAAAAAATGAAGGGTAGAAACGGTGTTTTTCGGCCCACGGTTAGTCCCCTTATCGCTTTTAGCAGTTTGTGCTCCTGTCCTCTCCCGCTCTCTCTGCCATGGCATGTTTGTGCTAAGTGAACAGCCCTCATCTCCTTATGAATCAGTAAGATTATGATTTGGTGACCGCACACGTTTCCGATATTGATGCTCTCCCGGCCAGATCTTATTTAAATTTAAGTTTGGCGGGGAAATATTTTAGTGATCGGTATAGTTATTCATATTGATTCGAATAAAGAAGTTTTGATGAGCATCAATCCAGTTCTCGACCTACGTTAGAATTCTTTGTCTATTCCAAAAGTAACACAAATTCGTCTGCCACTCTGTTACGTGTGGAAGATCCACCAATCAGAAAGCGCCAAATAGCTTCGCGTTACTCTCTAGACGTTTCAATTACGGTGACGTGGTATTCAATGCGTTGGGGTACCGGGCCTGCGTTGTGCTTCTTGGCGTGGTCCGGTCAGGTGTGGCATATTTTGGCCTGCCAACTTGAGGAAGCTTCTGGTGTGCGGTTATTGCTGTTCTAGTCCTAGTGCATACAAATAATTGTTTAATCTGTTGTACAACAACATAACCACATACCGTAAATATGCAGGGCTCGATCGTTCCGCTATGTATGTTCCTCCTATATCAAAGCACAGTGGTATCGTCTCTTCGAGAGGGTGACTGTGAAGGTATGTGGTTACTACTTTCTTAAAGTGCATGTCAAAAGTGTCCAGAGTCTATTTATCTGTAAGCCATTAGAAGAATCTGAATGTAACAGTTTTGGGCAGAATCTGTTATTTTTTAGGCAGCCTTTGCTAGCTTAATCCGCACCCAAAACATGCATGCTGTTAAGTTATGTCACTGGCAGCCAGGAAGTCAGTCTGCAAAAAATCCACTGTGTTGAATGCATGGAAGCTGGTGCCCTGTACCTTTCACTTGTGTGCATGAAACTCGGGCAGGATAAATTGTGTTGAATTTTCTCATTTTTACATGAGAAATGTTATGTGGGAGATTTTATGTCAGGAGTTACCTTTAAAATGTCATGTTTTTTTTAAACACTGCTCTTCAGGGACTTGAATTGGGGGTGGGTATGCTTCAAACACCAAATGCCCTGATATATGTGCATGCCTTGAAGTCATTACTGTGATCTTGCTGCTATGAATGACATGTTGGAAATAGCATAACTTTTTCATGGTCTGGAAGCAAATCACTGGTAGCAATCACAGTCACTGGTAGCAAAAGCTGTTAAATACTAGTACAGGCTGCCCTTTTCAGAATTTTCCACCTTCAGATCATCACAAGAAGTCAGACTTAGGGGTTTTAATAATCTTTACATAAACACTGCACATGGAGGATCTTTAGAGCTGGAAACACTGTTCATTATAATAGAATAGTGGAAAAAGGTCATCTTGGCTTACAACCATAATATGTAATTGTTCTTACAATATTTAAGATGATTATAAAAAACATGCAAAATCAACTAGAAAATAATGTAAATGAGTTGTTCAACTGATGCAAGTGGTGGTTACAATGCTGACATCAGAATCAAGAGTGAGAATATTGTGAATGTTTAAACCTGAGGTAAAAGTTTAGAGCCACATCTTTTAAATCATTTCTTGAGCCACTGGAAAATCACTGGATAGGTTACATGTAACCTACCTAATGCAACCAACCTAATGCAACTAGCCTCATGCAATGTCATGTCACTGGGAAACCAAATGAATTGGTGACAAGGAATAATATGTAATATAAAGTTACATAAACAATGAAACAAAGTTAACCTAACCTATCTTACCTAACCTTATCTAATCACCTTGACCAATCTTGTAACCCTCCAACTCATCCCACTGGTATGTAAAATGTTCACAATTTGCTTTTTAGTCTCACCTAATACCCCATCAACCATTTGATTTTCATCATATTTCTGCCAATTTAAGATGTCATTTTTGGTCACTGTGTCAACTAATCAACAATTAGTATGCAAAAACCTCATATAAAAAAGCAAAAGCTAAAAGCTGGCCTTGATGGCCAGTAAGCCATTGCAATAGCCTTTGGTGTGCTGGTATCATGTAGTCAGTGTTTGAACCTACTCTGTGGTGCTATTATCATAAGTGTTAAAGTGATGAATTGATATGACGTTATTTTGCTGTTTTATTATTATGAACGGTATTTTCTACTCTAAAGAAGACAATTCATGTGCAATATGTTGATGTAAAGATGGATAAACACATAAGTTTCACCTTATAAGCTGCTTCAAAACTACATTTGTGTATACTGCCTGGCCCCAGCAAGATCTTGCTGGGGCCTGTACCATCATGTTTCTGCAGCTGGCCTGTTACTAGTGATCAATGTTGCCATCAATGTTTAGGCAGATGGTTACAAAATCCTGGAATGCCACTGATCATGGCATTCTCTTGGAATTTGTCATGTTTATGTACTTTGTGTGCTTTACCATACCTAGGTACCCAGCAAATGCAGTCCTTTTGACATCTGGCTGTGTGATTTTCTGATATGATGTTAATGATGTTTTGAATATTTGTGCTCACATGCAGCCATCTTTCTTTTCAGTCTGCATTGGGGTCATCAACAAAATATACAAGGCTGTGCCCTCTGAAGATAGCTCATCTCAAGATAAGGTGCTAAAAGTTCTGGAAGATGTGTGTGCTGGTACCAGAGGGAAGGAGCATAAATTTGTAAGTTTATATTCCTGTTGTTACTTTTTGTGTTCATCTTGCCCATACCTTTCAAGTCAGTGGAAGAGCCTTAAAGTTAACTTCAAGGGAAGTGGTTGTGGGTCATGCTGTGGATGTCTCCAAGCATCCCAGATCCAGGATGCCTCCATGGATGTCCTGTATTTGCCATTTCATGTCTTTTAGCATTGTGTCTGACCCACCTGGCTTTGCTGTCACACATGCATACACATGCATATGTTCACAATGCTAGGAGCAGCATAATTTACCAGAGGTGGGTTGCTGATAGCTTTGGGGGGTATTTTTCTATTAAGTGCCCATATGACTTAGTCTTCTGTGATTCCTCTAGCCCTCACAGTTTCATCTCAAACTTATCTTTTCCCACACACTACCTGCTGCAGTATGTTCACCATACCAAAAGTATGTAATTGGCCTTGGTGTTAATGAAATGAACTGATAAGGACAGATGTAAAAATGGAATGAAGTAATAGTAAATTACCAGGATCATGATTTTGTCATCAATCTTTGATATGCTGTGATAAGTTTATAAATGAATAAGATGTTAATTCATAAATCAGTAAGATGTGGTGCAAAACAACAAAGTGAACTGAAATTCTGAACAGCACATTAACACTTCTGGCGCATGCCACCAATGATGAAACATGACAGGAGAATGAGGATTTTACTGATTTTGTTTTTGGCTACTAGAAGATTAAATAGATAACATGAGTGCAATGATGAACCATAAAGGTTCCCCTTGGTTGTGCTTTTCCTGGCCAATGTAACAGATGTGCTTCTTGCATATAAGATACAAAAATGGCTCTTGTCAAATGTCTTATCTTGTATGTTTGGTATGTTTAGAACACTGAAAAGCTATTTTCTTTCCTTTGAAAAGTTTCCAACAATATTGACCATCATAGTTGTCATTTTGCACCCAATCCAAAAGCCAATAATTGTTTCCAAAAGTTGGAGCCCAAGCTTATGCACAGCCATGTGTTTATTTTTAGGAAAATTACACCTTGTGCACCCTTGCATGAGTCGCCAGTGACCTCAGATGTCACGTCACGCTCAGGGACCCCGGAGCGATCGGCGATCAGATGTACTGCCGCTTATGTACTATGCACATTATCACAAGTCACTGAGCAGCACAAGACGATTGCAGTCACGCTCAGACAGACAGCAAATCAGAGATAAGTGCAGCACATTATAGCATCAGCAGCTGAGCGCCCCAGCGACCCAGAGGAACACGAACGCCACACGCGATACGTTTGAAATCGCGCCCCTTCTCATGCGGACCGAAGCGGGCCGCCGCAGACTGTGCTCCGGCACATTCCAGCTGACATCCCGTCATGGGCCACCATACTGGCTATAGACGCCAGCGGAGACAACATCTTCTGTAGCTGAGTCATGAGGCGGGCCGACCGTGATGCTGTGTAATGCTGTTCTTCGACTTACTGTGTCTAATCGTGAATCACAATCAGTTTTGCATTGCTTTTAATTATCATCTGGTGCATCCTACACATCACACGCACGCACGCACGCACGCACGCACGCACGCACGCACGCACGCACGCACGCACGCACGCACGCACGCACGCACGCACGCACGCACGCACGCACGCACGCACGCACGCACCACACACACACACACACACACACACACACACACACACACACACACACACACACACACACACACACACACACACACACACACACACACACTTCAACAAAAACCAAACTGCATGCTGGTAAGTCGGTAACGGTAATCCACTAAGTCACCTGGTTATGAGCAGTGGAATGACTCCTTACTCTTGCCAGCTTGCTCGTGTGCCAATTACGATTGTTTTGTTTCCTGTTGCCAGTGCTACTACATTGGAGGCGTTGAAGATTCAGCCACTCGCACACTCAAGGATATCACTCAGCCAATGAGCTATTCCATGCCCGCTGAGAAGATCTGTGAGCGTCTGAAGAAAAAAGATCCTCAGATCTGTGAGCTGCGGTATGGTAAGTAATGAGTTTTTTACATCCAGTGTTCACTTTTGTACTGATTTTATTCGACTCACCAGCGAATCATCTTGTGATTGGGTTGGTGGCATGCGCGTTGTAAAAGTCGATAAACTTGATGCAAGACCTTATGCTACCATGTATTTCAGTGGTCACACTCGTTCAAGGCATTTCCTCCTCCTTTCAGACAAGCAGATCGACCTGAAGAACGTGGACCTGAAGAAGCTGAAGGTGCGGGACCTGAAGAAAATCCTCTCCGACTGGGACGAGATCTGCGACGGCTGCCTCGAAAAGACCGACTTCATCAAGCGGATCGAGGAGCTCAAGCCCAAGTTCATCCGCGAAGAGCTATAGAGATCTGTTCTAGGCACTGTTTATTTATGTGGGTTTGCTCTGAGTTTGGACTGTGGGTCACGCGCTGGCAGCGGTGGCATGCGACCGATCCGAAGCCGCCAGCTGCTCCCGACGCAGGGGCACAACGCTGTTATGATTTGAGGCTGATGTATTTGTTACCGACGGAGCATGCGTTTGTTAGCACCGGGCGGTGGCCACGTGCTCCATTCCTGTAGACCTATTATTGTCAAGTTTCAGACGGGCGTTGAAATCGTCGAAGCCGTGTCAGAGTCCGGCCAGCCGCCATCCGGCGGCATGGCTCTCACTGCGAGTGAATAAATCCGACGTCACATTTTCTACTATTGTTTCTGGTCAGCGCTGTGCTGAACGCCGGCTGGGGTGCCGAAGGGCGGGTGAGAGTGACAGCGGCTGGGCTGCCGACGAGCGGATGAGGGTGGCGACGGCTGGGGTGCCGACGAGCAGGTGAGAGTGGCGACGGCTTCGGTGTTGAGCGCGTGAGAGTGACGGCGGCTGGGGTGCTGACGAGCGGATGTGACTGACGGCGGCTGGGGTGCTGACGACCCGACGGTTCCGGCGGCCTGCAGACCAGTGAGTGTCAAGGGCTCCCACTAGGGGCGCAGTGCCACTCGAGCCGCACAGTCCTGTCAAGGAAGCTCGATCTCGCCGATCACGAGGACATCGTGAGCGCGGGTTGTTGGGCCAGGACCTGGGTAGGCCGCTTCCGATCGCCATCTGGGCTGGCACATGCACTCTGCTCAGAGACCGCAGGACGGGGAAACATGCTCGGATTACGTTGGCAACTGCATGTGCAAGCGTGATCGGTGTGAGTGCGGTTTCTGTGTATGCTGGTTGATGGGTGTACTAGGCCGCTTCCACTCATGTAGCTCGTGCAGCGTCCGTAACAGATGTTTTATTGGCAGGTGATCCGCATCATACTTTTACAATCAATGCGGCGTTGCGCAACATGGTACCATGCACGCATACTTGCTTTTGCGCCGGCGAGTGCGTAGTGCAGAAACGTAGCTCAGCAAGGAATTTTCTAAATGCTCTTGACACGCGCTCGGGTGGGGGGTCAAACCCACCCTCAAATGTTTTTTTCCGGAATGGCTTCGAAGGGGTGCGGCGTGGTCGCGCTAGATTTGCATAACTCTCAAAAATTGAATAGGGGATCGTTTGGCATACAATTTAGATGTACCTTGTAAGGTCGTTGGCCTACAGCAGATCAAAGTCAGGCCATGGATTCAGCGAAGCCAATTTCAAGAAAATCGTTCAATCCGATGTAACAGCGGAATGTCTGACGAAGCCACACATTTCTGAGATACCTTTCTATGCAACCCAAGAATTGAATGAATAAATTCCATGGACGTGAGGTCAGGTATGAAGGTCAGCTAAAAGTCAAAACTAATCTGCTTTATGACTCTACGGCTTGCTGTACGGGGTAGTTTCTGGTGCTCATGTCGAACTGATTAATAACGAAACCTCATTATACCTCTTCGACAGACTTCTTGAAGGTTCTAATAGGTCACTGACCTAAAATGACACAGGACATCACTTTGTTTTTAGGAGCATGCTGCCTAGCATAATCTTTGTCAGTGATTGAAATGCCAAACTCAAAGCAGTCTTTTATGATTCTGGTCGTCATGACCTTCGAAAGTTCAAACGAGGTCACCGACCTTAAGTAAACATGTGACCTGCTTAGAACAGGTGTCTGGGTTCTGGGGGCACTTTGGACACCAACTTGGAGTTTGGCCCTGTTTGACCCTGGTTGACCCAAAGATCATGACCTAGAAACCTCAAACTTTGACATAAGTGAGTTCAAGCACAGGCGAACACACCCCGTGAATTTGGTGTCTCTAGTTCCCGTAGTTTCTGAAACTGAAGGGGGTCAAATTGATACCCCACCCAAGCGAAGGGCATCCAGCTGACCACCCCTGGGGGGGGGGGGGGGTTAATGCAGCTTGAGTCGTCACGCTGCGGGGCCGGAAGAGTTAAAAGGGAAGCGTGCGGACCTAGGCGAGGGGACCGTCAGCACCCAGACAGGGATCCGCAACATGGCGGCCTGTCAGTGGCCGCCGCATCTGAGGCACGATGGCGCGACGTCCCCGCCAGTCGGTCAGGTGGTGGCGTGGGCGTCACGTGACCAGTCAGAGCGAACGAAAACAAACCGCGGCAGAAAGTGGCGTACATCGCACGTGTGGCCTATGCGTAGACAACATGACACCACGCCCTGCCTGTTGTGAGGAAACTCGAAGTCCTTCAGTCGAGTTTCATAGCTTCCAGCCCGTTGTTGTCCACAGCCTCCTATGCCTGTCAATTTCTTCGTAGAAGAGACAGTAACTGCGTGTGGGAGTTGGTAGGGCGATTGCAAGAAGTGTACATGGTGACGGATGTTGCTGGCCTGGCATAGACATTTGCAAGTTCGCCCCCTTGCTCACTGCTGTTTTTACAGTCCAGCATCCAATGTTATTTACTGTTGTTGCAGGGCATCCTCCACATGACTGAGTACAAGGTACAGAGTGACAGTCCGGCCAGGCCGAGGTAGTGACCGTCGGCGGGGTCTGTGTAGCGGTGGACCATGCCCCGGGCCAGTCTGTCAGCATGTAAGGCGAGTGGGGCCATGACTCACGTCTGAGTGAGGGGAACAATCACGGCTCGGGGCGGTGCGTCACGGCGGCGCCGGCCAGTCGCTCGCAGATCGTGTTGCGGGGATGGGCCTTGGAAGGAGTACGAGAGGTGCTGCTCGGGCGCGTGGGGTGGGAGTCTCCCTGTCGGCGTTGCGTGCGACAGTTCGCCGTTGTGTGTGGGGTGGTCCAGCCGCGATGTGACCCCGAATACAGTCCGGTCGGGTCTGGTCTGGTCTGGTCTGGTCGGTCGGCGGCGGCCGGTCGCCACGCGAGGCAAATATTCCCTCATGGAAAGGAACTGGAATGAACTTCCCAGGTCTTGTGAAACCAGGTGTGGGCCGTCGCTTTGGTAATGCCCGCAAGCCCCAGAGAATACACAGGCGCAAGCCACAGCAGTACACCCGCGACCGCCAATCACAAAGTGACGACCGCCATGCTCCATTTGATGTTGGCAAGATGGGGCCTTCGCGCGCGGAGCTTGGGCAGCTTGGGCATGACGAACGTCACAAGATACATCCGAAACTAGCATCACCAACAGATTAGACACAAGAGACCACGGCGCCAACTGCATGCACTTCCGAACCGAGTTCTGATGATAGGTCCAGAAACAGGCACTTTGGGTTCGGACTCATTTATCCCCCACTGACCGCCTCCAACACCCGCGGCATGGCAACGGCCCGGCCGCCACGTCCGCAACCGCTGAGCACTCGGCAGTCTGACGCTGCTGACCACATATACGCGGCTAATCCTTTGGTTTATTTGTGCGACAATGCGCGTTCGTCGTTCGCAAGGCTCAGTAGTACTGCTACGAGGCTGCAGCTGGGTTAGTACGCGTAACTCTGTCATCTGTGACCAAAGGTTACAAGCGAGAGTTAGTCTCCCCCACACCAGGCGTCGCTGCCGTCAGGCTTCTCACCGCAGAAGTCGACCGAGCGACGCAGAAAACACCAAATTGGGCAACCAGCAAACACCACAGGCACTGATGGCGCCTACGCCGCAGTAGCAAGACAATCACCTACGGCACACCTCAACCAGCCAGTCTCAACAACTTAACATTATGCTAGCATCCGGCTATAACTGCTGTCAGACAAGTACTACGGGAAACGCTACAATTTCTCGCTACTTCGCCAACGAAAACCCAAACTCACGGATAAAGATACACAATAAATAAGCGCCATGACAATGTCAGTCAGGTCCGAAGCCAGGCTGGAACAAGATGACTAGAGAAGACAGAACGCAATGTATCGCGCGCGTTGAGCGATCTACAAAGAGGCAGGAGACTGCGGGGGCGACGGACACTATCATTCGCTATCAGACCATAAGCCCTGAGGCGCGCAGAAACAAACACGCGCACCACAGTCGGATGCACGATTGCATATATTTTACTAACAATCACAGGTTCTCCTACCGCCCAGCACTGGCGTCGGCGCTTAGCGACACATTTGCACGAGCTCAGGTATATAAAAATAGGCTAATAAATGCTGATACTCGGGCGCGGGACGCCCGGTTCGCCCGATAAAGCGGGCTCGCGCCTAGCAGCTGCCGGCGGCCCCAGTCCAGGGTCGTGGACGGATTCCGTACTGTCCCGTGATTATTGTCCGAACTCAGATATGCGGACTGGCCGGTGCGTGCTGCCACTAACCGGGCAACACGCGCCCGCTCCCACTGACGGCCCGGCCCACCGCTGGCAGTGCGCGGTCCGCCGCGTCGACCGCCGCTCCCACTCGCCGGACTGCGGCACCACCCCGCCGGGCGCCGCGCGGCCGTCACACGAAGCGTGGCGCCGACCAGCGCGCCGCGTCAGGCGGGTCCCGAGAGGCCCGCGTGCAGCCGGCCGCTGCACCCGCCACCGGCGCCGAGAAGCCGCCGCACCGCCGGTCGGCCATCAGCCGACCGCTCAGTTGGCCTCCGAGAAGCCGTCGTACAGTTTGGTGATGACCACCTCGCCGGTGGAGAGCGTCTGAACGGCGGCGTCGCGCGTCTCGGCCGGCAACGCGGCCGCCGTCTCGGCGCCCTGCGTGGCCGCCGACAGCACCTCCTCCAGCCGGTGGATGCGCTCCAGGCGGCCCAGCTTGCCGTTGGACAGCACCTCGTCCACCATGGCCATCGACTGCGAGATGCTGGGCGAGGTGACGCAGCGCGGGGACAGCACGCCGCCTGCCGGGAGGGCGCGGGGTAAGACAGGCTTCGCCGCCGGGGGATGGCACGGCCGGGGAGAATGAACGGCGTGACGATGTGACGTAAAAGGGCTCGCCACATGTAAAATGGTGAACACAAAGGGCGCCGCATATTGGACAGGCCTCACTGTCATCGGTGCACCGATCCTCGGGAGCGGACAGGCCAGGTGGCATTTGTCGGACTGCATTGGTGACGTCACCACTGTCCGACCCGGGACAACCGCCGGTGGCCAGCAGCAACACTGCCTGCATGTGGGCATCACTGCTGCTCCCATTGTCTAAAACACACGTCCAGCAGCTGAGGGATGGGACGGCGTTCTTGTGAACACGCTGGCGCGGGCCACCACACCATATCACGTGCACCAGCCGCCAACACTCAGCGCTAAACGCTAACACGCGTGGGGGCTTGGAGCCGTGGCGGCGCAGGCGCGCGGCCGGCCGGCCGACGAGCGGAGCGGGCGCGGGCAGCTGGAGGGCGCGCCGCGGCTCGCGTCGCCTCACCGGTGCTCTCGGCGGTGGATGAGTCGCCAGAGGTGCGGCCACCGCTCTCCACGCTATTATTGCTGGCCATGCTGCTCAGGCTCGGGTACTCGGAGTCGCCGTTCATCCAGGGCAAGCGACGTCTCCGACTCCTCGGCCTGAGCCTCTCTGTCGACGCGGCAGGCCACCGCTCGGTGAGAACACACGGTCGGCGAGCATTCGCGTCCAGCGCAATTCGCGGCGCCGCTACCGTGGATGGGCGCAGCTCGGAAACCTCTCCTGGCTTGCTGTCCGCCCCCCCCCCTCTCTCCCTCTCTCCCTCTCCCTCTCCCTCTCCCTCTCCCTCTCCCTCGTCCCTCTCCCTCTCCCTCTCCCTTCTCCCCTCCCTCGCCCTCTCCCTCTCTCCTCCTCTCTCTCTCTCTACTCTCTCTATCTCTCTCTCTCTCTCTCTCTCTCTCTCTCCTCTCTCTCTCTCTACTCTCTCTCTCTCTCCTCTCTCTCTCTCCTTCCCGTTTCTCACACCCTTGCCATCAAGGTTTGTAGAGTCAACAAAACACACAAAATGGCAAAAGAGGTGAAAACAAATCCCCTAGTTCAGCTATCACATACCACTATCAGCACATTTATTACGACCGTTCACTTCATCGGGGTTGAACAGAGCGATCCCACGGACAAGGATCTTCAGAGAAGCGAATTATATCGCCCAAACAAACAGCAAGATCGGCTGCGGTGATGACTCGTGCCCGACAAACAAATGTAAAAAAAACGTTCGTTCCCTGGTAACGCCGTAATCCTCACCCATCCTCGCGCTTCTGCTGCAGCCTCTCCAGCTTCTTGGCCACCTTGTACGACTTCTCCAGCTTCTCCCGCTGCTCATCAGTCAGCTCCACGTATCTGACGAAGAGAGCGCACGGTTCTGAACAAGCCGCACGAGGCCGAGGGTGGCGCCGGCAACACAGGCCACGTCAGTGACCGGTTATCCATGGACATGACGTGTCGACGGGCGCGGCGGCACGTCCAGACGGTACCGCTGTCCGGGCACGACGACTGGCGTCCCGGCCCGTCTCAGGTACCAGTCCGGTCCGGGACGACCGTCCCACCAGAGCCGACCCCAGTGGTGCCCACCTCAGCAGACGGATCTCGCGGTTGCTCAACACAAGGTTCTTGCCGACGGCCGTCGTTTGTCCAGCTTCTCCTTGAGGTCGGTCACCTCCGTCTCCACCTTGCGCTGCTTCTTCTTCTGCTTGACGTCGTCCTGCCGGATGTACATGGTGACCTGCTCCTCGCACAGGTCGGCGAACAGCTCGCGCAGGCTGGGGTCGATGGCCCTGCGACGCCGGGACAGCCCGGTCAGCCCCGACACAGGCTCGCAGGCGAACACAGGCGGCAAGCAGGCGCCGCCGACCCGCTGCTATATAGGTATCGGGGAAAGCTTTTCCATAGGTCCACGACAGATTGCTGTTGCCTGGAGAAGCAGGCGGGCATGAGAAATAACACGCGAATGTTGCACTTTCGCAATCGTCATTTCACATCCCAAGCAACACGCTTTCTAGCACGTGCATGTCTGATCACCACAACCACGGGATGCACAAGAAATAGTGAATTTCTTGCACGGAAGGTATGGGTAGTGGACAGAAGGAGACAGGTCTTCAGCTGCTTCTTTTCAGCTGGGTAGAAGGCCGCAGAGTCATACTATGTGCCGTTGTTTTCAAGTGTTTTTTTTTCTTAAACTCGCTCAACCTTGTTCACTCATGATAAGCACGGTTTGAAACGTCAGAATTGACAACATGACTAATGTTTGCTCTATTATGCCGCTTAACCATACCTCCTGACCTACTGAAGGTCGGTGACTCACCATACGAACTCTAAATTCATAAAGTCATGGATAAGTGAATGATAGTGTTATCATAGAAGTAAACGACTTCAACATCCCCGCAGATTACTGTGAAGTAAACGACCCCACGATCCCAGTAGATGACTGTGAAGTACACGACCCCCGCACCCCAGCAGATGACTGTGAAGCGCCGGAGGCATCCGTCAGCGTTTACGCCAGGAGTGATCAGGGCAGGTTGAGGAGATGACGTCAGGACCGGTCAAGGCGGATCACCATCGGATAGCAGAATACCTGAAATATAACACCTTCGAGGGATGGGAGAACAGACCACTGGAGTTCGTGATGGACACATCACAGCGCATTCATTTCAGATAGTTTCAAAAAAGTGTTTCACTGTGTTAATTTTTGGCGCTGAATTGTTTTGTAAGTGTTAATTTACGTAAAATCCGAAACATTCGAATAACTATAACCAGCATTCTCACCTTAACCCGACGCTAATGTACGAAACAAACTTCTTTTAACACCCATGCCATCATAACATGCCTGGCACGTGCGAATAGTTCATGGATTATAATGTAGTACACCATGTACGTAAATGAATCTATACATATATGCACGTATATATATATATATATATATATATATATATGTATCTATATATATATATCTATATATATATATATGCCTG